CCTTTTCTTTCTTTTTGGTGATCCCATTTAACTTCAACTTGATGGCAAGGGATTCTTGTGCTGAATAATGTCAATGGTGAGCCTTTCATGGAGTCTGGCCAGTGGTCCTGGATAATGGTTGCAAGGGAGTTGACTTGCATTAATTGCTGAAGCCCTCCTCTACTAACAGTATGGACTATGGATCTCCCACAACCACTATGATGGAGAAAAGACACCATCTCTCCCTGGGTGGCCTGATGGAGTCAGAATGGGCTCTAAATGGTTAGGCTAGGGTTTTGGGTCACCAATCAGTGAGCTGCTGTGTCACTGGCTGATGTTCATGGCCTCTATTGCTCCTTATAGTCTCTCTAGATGTAAAGCCTGTCCCCAGAAATTTAAAGCCATTAAACCACAACTTCCGTTTAACCCACTTCTGACAACACTGTTGATTTTGGGGGTTCTGTGATCATTTACCTACTATAGCCAGTTGACAGTTTGTAGTAATTTTCTGATCACTTATTGAGTTTGTAAGAAGCAGTTTAGGTGCGATGCATTAACCAATTAAACAAAGAAAATATATGACTGCAGCAGCTGAGAATGCTCCACCAATCCTGAAGGTGTCCTGTACAATAGAGCACCAGGATTCAGTGGTGCCTTTATCTTTGTTCTTCTCTCAGGCTGATGTAGGGTCACTCCTGGCTTTCTCCCAAGAAGATACTGGCTTGTGCCCTGGATCCTCTCTCTCTACCTGGTCCCTGTTAGGAGCTGGGCAATCAATGCCAAGTCAATCACCTATCTTAACCCTCTCAGCCAATGAGCATGGGCAGCTACTCACGATGTCAGGATGCCCATTTTATCCTTGCCTAACTCCACTGGAAGGATCATTCTCATTACTTCGAAGAACAAAAGCTTATTTTCCATAACACTAATATTCATAATATGATAGCATTGTGCCAGATAAATCTTTTATTTATGCTGGTAGAAGTCTGGTTACCACTGTAACACAGTTAAACAAGGTCTCATGCTACATGGGAAATAATAAATATTGAATATTAAGAGAACAGTGTAACATTGACTCTTTTTGTAATTCTTCATTCCTCTGGCATCACTCCTGACTCTAAGGAAGATTAGAAAATTATAGCCAGTGCCTCTGCACAGTCCTCAGTATCCTTGAGTGTATCTCATCTGGTCTTGGTGCTTTATGTACTTTACGTACAGACATCCTTGCAATTTAGTTCAATTTTTTTTTCCCATTCATGGGATGTGTGAGTCGTTGATTAGGTCAGCATTTTTCCCATTCCTAATTGCCCCTTTAGCACAGTGAATTCCCAAAGCCATTTCAGAGACAGTTAAGAGTCAGCCACATTGTTTTGGACCTGAAGTGACATGTAAGTCAGACAAGGAAAGCAGATCACCATCCTTCCTTAAAGGACATTAATGAACCAGATCGGGTTTTAACAACGATCAACAATGGTTACATGGTTATCACTAGGTCAGATTCAATTCCAGATTTTTTTTTGCATTGAATTCAAACTTTACCACCTGCTGTGGCAGGATCCTAACTCATGTGTCCAGAGGTTTATCCTGGGTTCTGGATTACTAGCCTAGTGACATCACCAATACGTCATTGTCTTCCCCGTGTCTAGTGTGTTAATTACTTCCTCTTTCACTGTGACCTGGATAGCATCTTCTTCCTTTGTAAATACATCTAATATTCATTTAATAATTCAACTTGCCCTTTGCCTGCATATGCAAATCAACTTTGTGCTCCCTATTTGACGCTCTCCTCCTTTTACTACTTATATACCTACAGATTATTCTTTATGCTAGCTGTCAGTTTCTTTTCATTTTCTCTCTTTGCTTCCCTTATTTGCTTTCTGTGAACCTTCCCTCATCAGCCTGGTTCTTCATGGTATTAACAATCTGACACCTGTCATAAGCAGAATTCTTGTTCATTTTAAACACTATCTCCTTATCAGTCAACACTGGCTTACTCATGCAGAAAGGAGAACAATTGGTATGTACCTTGACTGGGCCCGAAACAACTCTTCATTGAAGGTAGCTCATTGCTCAGCTGCCAATTTTCCTGTCACTCTTCAATTGCCAGTTTATTGAGCCCAAATCTGTTCTTGTCCCATTGGAAGTTGGTTTTCACCTCGTTCATTTTTCTTCCTCTGGGATTGTTTTTGTTCATTTCCATAGCCAATCTAAACGTTTGGCTAGAAGACCATTCCTGCTACTGCATCCCTCCCTCCAAATCTCACACGTTTCCCCCATGAACAATCCACTCAATCTGCCTTATCATTATAGATCAGATCTAGCTCCCTTTCTTTGTTGGGCTCAAAACATATTGCTATACAAAATTCTCCTGAAAAGATCTCATCCACCTCTGACCTTTATGCTATTACTATCACAATCTGTACTTGGATAATTAAAGTCTCCCATTAGGGCTGCATGGTGGTTAGCACTGCTGCCTCACAGTGCCAGGCACCCGGGTTTGATTCCACCCTCAGGCACCTGTCTGTGCGGAATTTGCACATTCTGCCGTGTCTGCATGGGTTTTGTCTGGGTGCGCCAGTTTCCTCTCACAGTCCAAAGATGTGCAGGTTAGGTCGATTGGCCAAGCTAAATTGTCCAGGGATGTGCAGGATAGGTGGATTAGCCATGGGAATTGCAGGGTTACAGAGATGGGGGTGGATCGGTGTGGACCCGATGGGCCGAATGGCTTGCTTCAACACTGTAGGGACTCTTACAATTATAACTACACTATAATTCTTGCACCTCTCTATAATTTCCTTGCAAATTATTCATCTATATTCTTCCTATTTATTGGTCATCTGCAGACTACTGAACAACAGAATTGCACCTTCTTTGCTCTGTAGCTCTAGCTAGAGATTCTATCCTGGACTCCTCCAGCAGAGTCATCAGTTTAATATCTCAACTGAGACACAGCACCACAGGCAGTGTAGCACTCCCCTGTACTGCAGTCAGATTCTTAGTCTCTTGGTTCTGTGCTCAAGTCTCCAGCATGGGACATGAATTTAGGGTCTTTTGACAGAAAGTTACCAGCCATGACTGACACTACATCAACCTTATTCATTGATTTTTTTTGAAAGAAGTTCCTGTATCAACAGTTTTCCACTTATTTGCACACTCAAAGCCACAAACTCAATGACATTAAAAGTCTTTTGTAGCAATAATGTTCCCCACACGGTTAAAACTTTCTGCTGCTAAGTATCTTTTTAAAAGAAGAAACAATCATGCTTTTCATCTTTTGAAATCTACCTTAAATTGTAGGCGAAAAAGAATCAGTTTGCACTTTAGAGATTATACTTTCCTTTGAGTGCTTATTTTATTATTTAAGATTTACAAACTCCAAGGGTTTTATTCATAACTTAATTAGTATTCTGTTAAAGTGACGGGCTTGCTTTTTACAAAATCCCAAGACACTTGTGCTGTAGCAGACTGAAAATTAAAAAGGTACATAAAATACCACAGTAATCTTTGGAAAATCTCAGAGGTGGACGCTTTAGTTGACAAGATGCTTCATCTTTAAGTTTGATGTTACCACATTATGTCACACATTAAAAAGCAAAAAGCTCTTTTAACCATCAAAAGCTTTTTAAGGTGTCAATCTCCAAAAATGTTATTTTACATTTCATTAACATTCTTTTGGCAGTGATGGGTGGAGTAGAATTGTTGCTGAAGATATTTTTTTCAAAACTAAATGATTTTATATTCAGTTTGGGCGCTTCAATTTTCATTAAATAAGAACTGAAATCCCAGCCCAATCTGATAGGATGCAAGCTTCATTTATTAGCATCCTACATGAAATGAGTTGCAACAATCTCTATAAACGTATTTAAACTGTGGCTGACAGGGTCACTATCTGGCCAACAAATATATCACAGTGGTGTGTGTCCAACAGAGGCTTAGGAAAAATAGGATCCAATTGTACACTGATTTGGGAACTTGATACTAGCTTGGGTTGGTTCTGTTCAATATGGAAATTTTACCACATTCTGCAACTTTGCTTCCAAAAATTCGCAAGTAAAAGGACTGACAGTGTCAGTGTGTTCATCTGACAAAGAGAAGTACTTAAATCAACATTCACCTCAGAAACTGTCCATCAATTTTGCTTACCATTTCCTCAGGTCGGGGTGGGTACAGTCTCTCCATAGCCAGGCTGATGACAGCCTCTTCATCGCCAGACAAGCACAACTAGCCCACAAATGGTCCCCCTTCTCCTACACGGAAATTAAAATTGATGGTCTTTTGCAAGGGTAAGCACACCCTGTTTTGATGTGATCATGGACAGTCAGATAGAATCAATAGGGCGTCCACTGGTGGGGAGTGGGGGAGGGCAAATTCCAAGAGCTGTCTCTTCTGCTAATTCAGTGGTAGTATTGAACTGTGTCCATCATGATCCTAAGGAAATTCCACCCTCACCCAAACTCTGTGGAGTGCAAATAAGTTGGTGTCATCCTGCAACCTGAAATGAGGAGGAATGACAGAAGCCTTTCACTGATGGTATGCCTGGGAAACAATAGGTACCACCCATTCTTGTCACTTAACGATGAGGCATCTTACATCAGCAGTGTCAGGATGCCAGGACTGTTTGTGCAAAGCAGATGATAAATCCTTTAGCCTCATCTGTAATCAACTGTGCAGACTTTGGCAATTCAAAGGATAGATAGGGAGATCTCATGGAGAAGGGCGAGGAACATGGACATGGGTGTGCATATCCACAGGAACAGGTATGGTTGGAGCAACTTACGAGGCTGCAATTTCACTTGCTTGCTACAGATGGCACCAGGACACAAGACCTACACTGAAGTACTGTAACTCATAAGAGACTGAATGGTAGCAGCAGCTCAGGCATAGAAACAGCTCAGGCATAAAAGTGATTTGTAGACTGAAACTTGTAAAATACAACAGCAATTCAAAGCACCTGACATTCCCAGGAATATTCCTGGCAACCCCACCCACTGTAATTGGTAACAAAAGAAACCCCTGAACTGTAGAGTGTCTTGCAGTTTATATAAAGAGTGCAACTTTTTAAATTCACAATAATGGCTTAACACATCCATCGACATTAAGAGTTACAATTATCTCCAATTTAAAGAAAGCAAAAAGAAAATATTCTATTGAATTGTCCTGCGACCCCAAAATGTAACCGCGAGAGATGGCTGTACACTTATTGACATCTTCCAACTTTCCTACTGTCTTCATACTCTTTGGTTGAGGGATGCTGGTGCAGAGGAATTTGGAGAATTCTTTTGTTTAGCTCTTGCTCCCCTAGTGGTATTATAAAACTCTGACCACATCACATTTGAAAATATATTCAATGTCAAGGCCCATTCATAATTTAAATGGATAGGAAACCTTACAATCATCCAAGCACTCAATCAACACAAAATTGCCTAGTTTCAAATAATTTCCAACTGGTACGTTTGAAGTTTACAGAGTGATTGGATAACTAATAGATGTTAGTCAGTGTACAGTACACTAGCTGCATATCAGGATTGGAGGGCAATTAAGTAGAATGCACATTCTGTGTGACATGGGTTGAAGGTTCACTTCCCAACCTGCCACAACATTAGTCACCATCATTTACTTTTTAAATAATCAAACTTGTTCCATGGGCACCAGGCTACACAGGTGCCATCAAATAGTGCAAACAGCCCGATAATCATTCCAAGCATGCTGTGCATGGCTTTATTTCCAGCGATGCCTAATTAATGACGAATCATCAGTGAGACCATTGCCATTGCGATGGCTGTAAGGAATAATCAGCAAGATGACTGAAACCAGGAGGGTAATGCCACACAGTGTAATCAAAGCATAGGAGATGATCCAGAGTGCAGGCTCGCTCCTTGGCCTTTTGCCGATACAGTTGCTCGAAACATCTGCTGCTGAGAATGGACCAGCGATTTCAGAGACTGCAGAACCATCAATGGCTGTTGATAGACACAAAACAAATTTAGTTTAGGTTCATGTCTTTCAACCAACTGAGTTTTTTTTTGCCAAGAGCAATGTCACCTAATTCACTTCCTCATGATCATGTTGGTGCTGCGCAACGTTAGCCCTGTTAACCAAGGCTAATAAGCCAATAATTTGCACAGATTCTCTTGATGCCTTCGCATGGTGGTAACATCTGCTGTACTCTTACAAAGCCTAACTATACTTTAGTAGAAATGGCATTTAAAATGGCACATTATAGGACCAAGAAATGAATGGCAGCAGCTTGTCTGAAGTCACTGGTTATCAGGAACATAATTCCTGCATTTACCCTGGCTGATCCTGTTAGAACTTTATAACTCTCTAGAAGATCCCTCTTTCTCCTTCTAAACTCCAATGAATATAGTCCTAATTGATTCAATGGGAATCAGTTTGATCATGGAAGAATAATAGTATCTCACACTGCTCAGAGTTTTGGATGACCTGAGAGTATCTCTTGTCTGACCCACACACAAAGTAGAACAGTAAAGGCCCACCCAATTAAAAAGATTCATTACCAAAGAGGGAGGGAAGCTTTGGTAGACAAGTTAGGGCTCCAGCTCTTTACAGTATACACTAATGATTTAGAAGAGGGAACTAAACGTAATATCTTCAAGTTTGCAGACGGCACAAAACTGGGTAGGAGGGTGAGCTGTGAGAAGGATGCAGAAGTGCTTCAGTGTGATTTGGACAAGTTGAGTGAGTGGGAAAATACATAGCAGATGAAAGATAATGTGGATAAAAGTGAAGTTATCCGCTTTGGTAGCAAAAACAAGGAAGCACATTATCATCTGAATGGCAATAGGCTGAGAAACGGGGAGGTGCAACAAGACCAGGGTACTCACTGGAAGTGAGCATGCAGGTGCAGTCGGTGGTGAAGAAGGCAAATGGTATGTTGGCCTTCAGACTGACAGGATTCAGTACAGGAGCAGCGAGGTCTTGCTGCAATTATACAGGGCCTTGGTAAGACCACAGCTGGAGTATTCTGTGCAGTTTTGGTCTCCTTATCGGAGGATGGATGTTCTGAACATGGAGGCAGTACAACAATGGTTTACCAGATTTATTCCAGCGATGGCAGGATTGATGTATGAAGACAGGCTGGATTGATTACATTCACCAGAGTTTACAAAGGGTAAATGCAGGAAGGATGTTCCCAATGACTAGAGAGCCCAGAACCAGGGGTCACGGTTTAAGGTTATGGATAGGCCATTCAGGACTGAGATGAGGAGAAATTTCTTCTGCCAGAGAGAAGTAAACCTGTGAAATTGTCTGCCACAGAAAGCAATTCAGGCCAAAACACAATGTTTTCAAGAAATTAGAAACAGTTCTCAGGGCTAAAGGGATCCAAGAGTTTGAGGAGAAAAGCAGGAACAGGATACTGAGTTGGAAGATGAGCCATGGTCATACTGAATGGTGCAGTAGGCCTCAAGGGCTGAATGGCCTACTCTTAGTCCTGTTTTTATGGTTCTAGTGAGTTAACACAAGAAGACTTGTCTTCCTTCTCTCAATACATGAGGGAAATGAGGTATGAGGTCCAGAATGCTCAACTGACTGTTTTGCAAGTGTGTTAACTACTCGCTGTTTGGTACTAAATGCATCACTTCTCCCACAGTTTATTCAATTTGGCTGCCATTGATTGATCAGTCATGGTCAATTCACAGGATATCGGAAAAATGGCAAGACCTAATCTCGATTAAAAAAGAACTTTTCCCATTGGAGAGAATGCAACAAATGTGCTTGGATCTCTAGAGTTATATTCTACAATTCGAAAAGAAGAACTTATGCTGATGAATGCAGTTTCTACTGTCACAAATTCATATTCCAAACCCAACTCAAGTACAGTGAACATTCTCTCCAACTTTTTCTTTGTTCAGACCACTGTTCTTAATTGTTGGATTTTGCAGTTTTTTTTGCATTTTAACACAACGGTTATTCACAAGCGAAGGTCAAGTTCAAGAGTACTTTTCTATGGAAGAGAACCCTAGATCTCACTTGGCTATCAACCTGATCTGTGCATACTAACTCTCAGATGGACAATCATGACAGATTCATAACCACAACACTTGTGTCGTGATAATGTTACTGAACTAGCAATCCAGAGGACTCGGCTAAAGATCCACTTCCATAGCTGGGGAATTTTAATTCAGTTCATTAAATAGATCCAGATTAAAAAGATAGTACACACAATGGTGACCAGGAAAAGGAATCTTGTAGCACAATGGCAATGTCCCTACCTCAGGTCCAGTATTATAGAATCATAGAATTTCTACAGCGTGGAAGCAGGCCATTCGGTCCATCAAGTCAACACCAACCTTCTGAAGAGCGTCCCACCCAGACCCACCCCCTACCCTATCCATATAATGCTGCATTTCCAATGGCCAATCTACCTAACTTGCATGTCCCTGGACACTATGGGGCAATTTCCCATGGCCAATCCATCTAAACTGCACATCTTTGGACTGTGGGAGGAAACCGGAACACTCGGAAACCTGACGCTGTGAGGCAGCAGTGCTAACTACTGAGACACCGTGCTGCTCAGAAAGTATGGATTCAAGTCCTACCTCAAGATGGCCAGAGAGGGACGTCATAATATGGCCATACTGGTGGACAGAAACCACAGATTTACTTAATCACTGCTCTTTAGGGAAACAAATCTGTTGTCTTTACCTGGTCTCTTCTAAAAGAGACTTGATAGCCACAGCAATGTGGCTGACTAACTCCCCCCTTCAATGGCCTAGCACATCAGGATGTTTGGTTCAGAGCTGCTTCAAGTTCTATGACACAACAACATTCTAATGGTAGGCCAAGAGAGCATGTGATCATAGGGCCTGCAGCTTCTGAGCCCACTGAATTGTTTTTAAATACCAAATTAAATAAGCTTGACAATTCTGCTTGTTGTGAAATTTCATTTTTTACGCTCACCACATTCAATTGTAATAAAATTGGTACTATGTTAAAATGTGCAAATATACTGAACAGCAACTGGCAAACAACTTTACAAAACACGCGCATATGCATTTCTGGCCTCATCCAAAAGTGTTTCCAGAAATCATTCAAACAGCAAAATCTGTCACTTCATATCCTCTAACTCCAAGGACGATAGTTGACAAATGGCAGTTCATTTATCATTTCTAGGATTTAACTTTTGCAGTTTGGAGTCAAGAGCCATCCTTCCACAGCGATAGACACAGAAAGAGAGAGAGAGACACACAAAAAAATAAATGAAGGAACTGCAGATACCGGAAATCGGAAACAAAAACAGAAATTGCTTGACAAACTCAGCAGGTATGGCAGCATCTGTGGAGAGAAAAATCAGAGTTAATGTTTCAGATCCAGAGTCACACACACACACAAACACACAGCAAGTGTGACATAGCAAGAGAGCCTGAGAGCAAAAAAACAGCGACAGCCACATACCATGCAATCTAAAAACGTTGATTACTAAATCAGACTAATTTAGAAAAGAAGAGAATAATTTTGCTGGTTAACTTGTGATTCCATTACAAATGAGGTGGTGGTGGGGGGGGGGGGGGGGGGGAGGGGGGGGGTTAAAATGCAATGACCAGAAAGAAAGCAAAAAAAGAAACTTCAATAACGATGAGGCAACACAAGGTGGCAGAGTATCTATAGTTACAGTGATTGAGAAGGGATAGGTAAAGACTATTGTTAAAAATATATACCAGCATAGAATTTGGAGGATCTGTAATGAGCTGTTAGGTTTTACCTTGGAGCGCTTGTTGCTGATACCAGGTATCAACCAAAAAAATACCTTTTTCTTTCTCAAAATAATGAAGAGTATAAGTTTTAAAATTGAAGTATAGAATTTGTAACAGATGAGCATTCTAAGGCTTGGTTCATCCGATCACAAAATAGAATCATTTTACCAAGGAAGGCATTATGATCAGGAGGCAATGGAAATATTACGGCAGGGATTAAAGATCGCAGGGCAGAAGCAGTTCAGAGAGGGTTTACTTGGCTCATTCCTGGGAATGAAGAGCTTATCTTATGAAAAGGCCCTAGTCTGTTTAACCTATATCCATCAGCGATTTAGGAGAATGAGTCCTGATTTTGTCAAAAAAATATGAAAGCTCTTGATTGGGTGGATGCTAGGAGATGTTTCCTCTTTGGGAGTCTAGAACACAGGGACACAGCTTAATAAGAAGTCTGGAGGAGAACTGTTTACTTTGAGGGTCATTAGCGGCATGTGCAATTCTCTTCTCTAGGAAGCAGTGGATGTTGCATTATTCAAATTTACTCAAGGCAGACTTAAGTGGATTTTTTTTTAAAAATCAACAAGGGAGTTGAAGGTTTTGATGGGCAGACAGGAGAATGGAGATTTGACCACAATCTTAGTGAATGATGGACCAGGCCCAAAGGGCAAAACAGCTAATCCCCTTCTTAAACCCACACTGCCATGAGAGATACTGTTAAAACCTGGTTAGGTGGGATTGATCTAGAAATAGGCACTAACTAAATGGGGCTAAAGGCCTTTTCCCCACCTCTAACTGAATTCTCTAATGTCATCAGTATACAGGTTGTTAAAGCCATTGCATCAGAATGGGACAGCATGGGAGGTCATTTGGCCAGTCAGATTCTTGTGCTGGTTCTTAAAAAAGGAAAGAATTTTCTGTGATTAATATCAGTCTCCAGCTTTTTCATTGGAGTTCCAAAATATTTCTTTTCAAATATTTCCACCTCCAAAACTGTGACTTCCACCATGTTGAAGGACAACAGCTGTGGATGCATGGGAACACAACATTCCCAGCCAAGCCACAGAACAACGTGGCTTGCAAAAATATATTGTTACTCTTTTGCCATCACTGGGTCAAAGCTTTGGACCTCCCTACTTAACACCACTGTGGGTGTAAGTACAGCACAGACTGTCACGACTCAAAGTGGTGACAAACCACCACCACTTGAGGACAATTAGGGATGGGCAACAAATGCTGTTCTCTACCGCATCCCAAAACCAGTCAAGCTCGTCCCCGCCTCCCTAACCTGTTCTTCCTCCCACCTATTCCCTCCTCCCACCTCAAGCCGCACCCCCATCTCCTACCGACTAACCTCATCCCGCCCCCTTGACCTGTCCGTCCTCCCTGGACTGACCTATCCCCTCCCTAACTCCCCACCTACACTCACCTTTACTGGCTCCATCCCTGCCTCTTCAACCTGTTTGTTTCCTCTCCACCTACTCTCTCCTCTATCCATCTTCCATCCGCCTCCCACTCTCTCCCTATTTATTTCAGAACCCCTTTCCTCTCCCCCTTTTCTGATGAAGGGTCTAGGCCCGAAACGTCAGCCTTTCTGCTCCTGTGGTGCTGCTTGGCCTGCTGTGTTCATCCAGCCCTGCACCTTGTTGTGTCGGATTCTCCAGCATCCGCAGTTCCTACTATCTCTGTTCTTGCCAGTGATGGCCGCAGACTGAAAAAAATTAACATTAAATTCACTTTTGAAAACGATTTCATCTACTTGCACCACCGTTACAAGCCGTGAACACCAGATCATATCTTTTTGCTTAACTTTTAAAATTTCCTTTACACCATTGCCAGGGGCAAGCAAATTTGAATAGGTAAGGCTTATGGGAATGGGGTTTTTGCTCTACAAGGCAGTCAAAGTATTTTTGTGATGGTGGGGTGAACAGGCAGGAACATGGAGCTGAGGCAACAATCAGATCACTATGATCTTAGCGAATGGCAGATTAGGCTTGATGGACCGAACGGCCTAACAGTTACTATTATGTAAGATCATAGTAAGAAATATAGTTCCTTGACCAATCAAAATTCAGGCCTACTGTCCACGTCAAGTTGCATTCAGAAGATGATAAAACTTGAACATGTCAGACAATAGAACAGCACAAAATGTAACAATTTGATTATTTTCCCTTCATTGAAAAGAAGTGATGCTGAAAGAAGGCACTGTACGTTAGAACTTGGGTTCACTAGACCTCAAAGTGAGTGACAGGACCTGCACTCTCTCTCCATTCCACTCCATACAAAAGCACTACGGGAGGGAAAGTGGGGAGAGAACAAAAAAAAAAATCATCTCCTTTAGGAAATAACCAGGCTTCAACAGGATGGATTCTTAACACTCAACCATTGAGAGAGAGAGAGAGACAGTGTGAGCGAGGGGACAAAAGAGAGTAAGTGCGCGTGAAAAAAGAAACAGAGAGCACAAGTGAAAGAAGAAAAAGAAACAGAGAAGAAAGAAAAAGAGGAGAAAGAAGAAAGAAACTGAGAAGAAAGAAGAAAGAAACCGAGAAGAAAGAAGAAAGAGAAGAAAGAAGAAAGAGAAGATTAGCAAATTTTTTTGCAATCTTCAAAACAAAAAGGAAAAAGAAAGCTTTTTAAGCAAAAAATTGTCACTCTTGGACAGAAAGGATTCAATCATTTTCCTATGATTATTCCTAGGATTATTCCACACCTCCATAATGTCCTCCAGCTTGACAGCATATTGTCATTCCTCCAAACATAGCCTCATGTGAATCCTTGGTCTCCATTGTTCCTCTGGTCAGCGGCCCCATCTTTAGCAGCCAAGACCTGAAACTCCCAGCCTGAACCTCCTCGCCTCTTGTTCCACCTTCAAGGTGCTCCTCAAACACCAACCTCCTGACAAACTTTTGGTCACCTGTCCTAACACTCCTCACTTTGTGTGTCAAATTTTGTTTAACATCATTCTTGAGAGGTCTCCTGTGATATGTGACAATGCTTCAGGCACTACATAAATGCATGGTGTTTTTCAGGCAGGCTCTTTACTGTTTGCAACCCTTGTACCTGGATACCAGCAAAATCTGCTCAGCAGGTCCTGCCAACTGGTGAGACCACACAATCTTTCTGCAAGTTGCTCCTCGAGCCCACCTCAAGGTTGAGAGGCCGGCACTGGGAGGTATGCAGCACACAATTCCATAACAGGAACAATCCTTGGCTCAGTGCAGCTTAAATGCTCTGCAGTATTGCTCAGGGCCACTAGATGACCTCAAGGTCCATAAAGGCAACTTTTAGAAGGGAACGTAAAAGCAACAATATTAATGCGGCCATCTTCCAAACCAACAGAATGAAAGATTGTTTGGCATGTTGACCAATTCCTACACATTTTCTGTCTCTCTGCTGAAGGTCAAAATACCACCCACATTCTTCAACAAGTGTGCAACTAATCCCATGGTACCGTGGTTAAGTTCTCTCGAAGTGCAGCAAAAGACTGATGGCTAGTTCAGAGGAAATTTGCAGCCTGTAAAACACTAAAGTTCAGACTTGAAGCCATCTGTTGTATCTAGTGACACCAATCTCTAGTGGCATGTGGTTGGGATAGATTGCTGTCATTAATCCTCCTTTCTGCTATTTTAAAATAACCAAACCAAACAAAATGAATGGAAGTCAAGATACACTTAAGAACTTGAATTAAAATATATTTTTGTGGGTCTAATGCAGCAACACCTACAGTATCCATCAGTTCCAGAAGGCCTAAAGAGTACCTCAATCCATGAGCCTGTCCAGTTAATGCTTTCATTTCTCCCATTGCTGTCAAGTCTTATTAAGATGCACTTGAACAACAAGACATAGTTTACTGCATGGTATCAACAGATACAAGTTACACCGAATGGATAGACATCTTTGCAAAGACTATCTGGGGCCAGAAATGAGACATTTGTTGCCATCGAGACCTCATGCTTGATAGCTTCAGCTCCACCCAAAAACTGAGAGACATCATCATCTTCAACATGAACTCCTTCAGAAACACTACCATATGCAACTCTGCCCCCATTAGTTTGCTAGTCTTGCCGAGAAGACCACATAAAAGCAATGGCAAATCCAGGGGCATTTCTCGGCTCAAACCTTGATTGTAATAGTGGCACCACTGAGCATTGTTATTGAATATGAATTGGTCAAATCTTCTGTCATTCATAAATCATCCAGAAACATCACTCAGCAGGATACTATCACAGTAAAAAAACATTTCTTATAAGGAATTTGCTCCCTTAGCAGAATGAGAGATGTAAAATGATCATAGTTTGCACAGACATCAGTTTTATGATTAGCAAGTTCAGTAATGGAATACAATATTAACAGCTCTCCCATTCCAACATTCTAGCTGTAGCCTTTACAGAAAGGGTCCAGTGTATAGTGTGAGTCAAAAGAACTTTGTGATAATCAAGTGAGTTTTGAAATTCTAAGCCAATTCTATAAGTAATAGCTTGCTTTATTTAAAAAGAACAAAGCCAACAAAGATCACATTCTTGCAGCGAGACTTGGGAGTCCAGGTCCTTTCAGCCTCAGAGCTCAGAGGTTGTTTAGCCCTGTGGCTACAGTAATGACACACAAGGCTTACTAACACACTGCACAATAAATGTTTATTACGCACAAGCAGCCCAAGACTGACCTGCACATGAGCTGATAGAAAATCCAACTCGTTTCTGTGCCCGGTCAAATATGACGTAGAAGCCTTCCATCACAGTGGCACCCAAAACCAATCCATTAGTCGAGGAGGAGATTCCAAATCTATAGCATTCCATCTGGACTCCAATATCAGCCATTGGTTGGATGTACAACTGTGCAGTAAAAAAAATACCAGCAAGCTCAACAAGACAGCGAATATATCCAAAACTGTATTTCTTAACATACATTTATAACAAAAAAGTTTTTATTTGTACATGAGATGTAGCTATTGTTGAATTAATCCAGTATTTATTGCCCTTCCCTAATTGCCGAGCGAGCAGTTAAGAAACAGATGTAGGTATATAGGGTGGCTTAGGAAGGCATTTAGCAGGCTTGCCTTCATTGCTCAAGCCGTTGGGTATAGGAGTTGGTGTGTCATGTTGAGGTTGTACAGGTCATTGGTGAGGCCACTTGTGGAGTGCTATATACAGCTCTGGTCACCCTGCTACAGGAAGGATATTATTAAACTGGAGAGGGTTCAGAAAAGGTTTACCAGGATGTTGTCACGACTGGAGGGTTTGAGTTATAAGGAGAGGCTGTATAGGCTGGAACTTTTTTTCACTGGAGCGTAGGAGGTTGAAGGTTGACCTTATAGAGACTTATAAATCATGAGAAGCATAGATAAGGTGAATAGGAAAGGTCATAGAGTCAGAGTCCTACAGCACGGAGACAGGCCCTTCGGCCCAAATGGGTCCGAACCAAAACGTCCATCCACGCTAACCCCATTTCCCTGCACTTGGTCCATATCCTTCTAAACATTTCCTATCCATGTATTCATCCAAATGCCTTTTAAATGTTGTTAATGTACACGCCTCAACTACTTCCACTGGCAGCTCATTCCATTTGTGTACCACCCTCTGTGTAAAAATGTAGCCCCTCAGGTTCCCATGTATTCTTTCCCCTCTTACCATAAACTGATGCCCTTTAGTCCTTCATTCCCCAGTCCTGGGAAAAAGACTGAATGCATTCACCCTATCCATACCTCTCATGATCTTAGACACTTTCATAAGATCCCCGTTCAGTCTCCTACACTCTAAAGAAAAAAGTCCTAGCTTGTCCAACCTCTCCCTATAACTCAGTCACTGGAGTCTTGGCAACATCCTTGTAAATTTCTTCTGCACTCTTTCGAGTTTCATAATATCCTTCCTATAGCAAGGTGACCAAAACTGAACACAATACTCCAAGTGCAGCCTCAATGTCCTGTACAACTGCAACATGACTTCCCAACTTCTATACTCAATGCCCTGCCTGATGAAGGCCAGCATGCCAAAAGCCTTCTTCACTGCCCTGTCTACCTGTGACTCAGAGAACCATGCACCTGAACTCCAAGGTTCCTCTCTTCCACTACACTCCTAAAGGCTCTACCATTCACCACAAAACTCCTATCTTGATTTGACTTTCCAAAATGTGACACCTCATGCTTATCTATATTAAACTCCACTTGCCATTTCTCGGCCCACTTCCCCAGCTGATCAAGATCCTGCTGCAATTTCTGATAACCTTCCTCACTGTCCGCGATACTGCCTATTTTAGTGTCATCTGCATCCTAGGTCTTTTACCTAGGGTGGGGGAGTTCAAAACTAGGGGGCATATTTTCCACACAGAGGGTGGTTCGTACGTGGAATGACCTTCCAGAGCAAGTGGAAGACGCAGGTACAGTTTCAACATTTAGAAGACATTTGGATAGGTATATGAATAGATAAGGTTTAGAGGAATATGGGCCAAACAGAGGAAAGTGGAACTAGTTTAGATTGGGATTATGGCTGGCATGAACTGGTTGGACTGAAGGGTCTGTTTTTGTGCTCTTCGTCTCTATGACCTATAGGCAGGGATTCACCAAAGATCTTCAGGCAGCACCTTCCAAACCCATGACCACCTCTATCTAGAAGGACAAGGGCAGCAGATACATGGGAACATCATCACCACTATTTCCCTCCAAGCCACTCAACATGCTGACTTGGAAATATATTGCTGTTCCTTTACAGTGACTGGGTTAGAATCAAGGAACTCCCTCTCTGATGGCATTATGGGCCTACCTACAGCACATAGATGCGTCGTTCAAGGAGGCAGCTCACCACCACCTTCTCAAGGGCAACTAGGGATAAGCAATAGATCCTTGCCAACCAGTAATGCCCATTTCCCACATGTAAATAAAAGAAAAAGATAAGGGAGAATAGAATTCTTTCTCTCAAGGATGTTAGTGACTATTGACAGTGATAACACTATCACCCTTAGATTGTATTTTGTTCTTCCAGATTTTTATTTAAGTTAAACTTCACCATCTGCCATGGTGGGATTGGAAAGCATGTGTCCAGAACAATTAGCTTGGGGTTCGGGAATACTAACCTAGTGACATTGCCACAGCTTCCCCATAAATTGGTACTCAGCATCTTTGTCATGACTAGACCATTATATATAATCAAAAAACTTCTAATTATTCAATGTATTCCTTTCTATCCTCAAGTGGGACTGACTCCATTTGTACTATTATACCCAGACATAATGCACAAAGACATTCGTGTATAACGCTCTGAATGCAACAGAAGGGGTGCATAGATTAAGTGACTAAGTTACAGGCCCAATCTGTTAGCGGTGAAGTTAACCCAACTCGGCTCTTACCTGTGGCATAATGGTGATTCGGAAAGACTGGGTTGAATTCTCTCCTCGGAGGTAGATGGAGATTTCTGGAAAGTAAGACCAAGGTATAGTCCCTGAGGTCCAACAAGCCAACTGGTTGCCTGACCAAAACCCATCGGCAAATTCTGCAACCTGCCAAGACACCAAAGGAAACAACAAAAGTTCAGGAAATATGGAGTTGCAAACAGAATTCTAAGCTACAATATTAGACATTGGCTAAAATGGTCAGACGTTCATTGAAACACAACTCTCCCAGCCTAAATAGGCGTTTTCATCCTTCATGCAACTGTACCCACATCTCTGCTGGCTCATGCTATCTAATCATGCAGCTCTGTCAGAAGTTTAAATTAACTGATCAATATCTGTGACAATGTAAGTAAAACATGAATTAGAAGGAGATCTCTCATTGGGTCTTTCTTAGTTTATAATATTCTATTATAGACAGTTCCTATTTCTGACGCAGATCAGTCTAAAAAATGTCGCCCACTTAACGTTGGAGGAGTTTTCTGGACCAGGAGCCTTTCTCGATGAAGCAGTGCAGTTCAGGGCTCCAGGAAGCATGCATTGCAGGGGATTGGCACAGAATGCACAATCCCTTTTCATTGTCACAACATGCTGTGTCCCATGGTTTAAAAAGGTCCTGAAGTCATTGGCAGTGAAGGGTTAAAGGTTGGTTGAAGGGGATGAGGATTGGGGCAGTTGAGGTGGTTCCAGTTCTTGAGGTGATAGAAGAGTCATGCGAGATTTAGGACAGTCAGGAGTCAAGGGGTGCAGGGTTGGAGTCAGGTATCTTCCGGGGAGGGTGACTGTTTTATATCTAGACAAGACATAGAGCAAACTATAATTCCTGTAAGCTTTTCTGCCTAATTATTAAGTTGGAATGCTTTGAAGTCTGCAACTCTACCTCAGAGCTGGGGAGTTTTCAGTGCTGCAGATGCCCATCAGACATTTAAACTTCCTAGGAAATTCCTATGAAGCCAGCTGTATTGGAATCTCCTGACAGGCACCTCCAACTACACTGTTAACACCGCCGCCTCTCTGTCCAGTTTTAGATAAATCAAGAGTTCAAATATTCTGTAACCCCACTATCTAAAGGCATAAAAGGAGATTATTACAAAAAGACCTCTCTCGTCTAGAATCATTATAACTCTCAAAAATGTACCATATGCTTCTCAATGAGAACTTGGGATTTGTATATACACATCCCTGAACACTTGGGGAAATTTAGCATGGCCACCTAATCCACCTAACCTGCACATCTTTGGACTGTGGGAGGAAACCGGAGCACCCCAAGGAAACCCACATAGACACGGGGAGAATGCGCAAACTCCACACAGTCACCTGCAGCTGGAATCGAACCCAGGTCTCTGGTGCTGTGAGGGAGCAGTGCTAACCACTGAACCACCTTGCCATCCCATATAGCATCCATAATATAAACATCACTCCAAGCTTCATTGTTATAACTGATAATAATGCAGAATGGACAAAGGTGATGATCCTGGAAGGGATTACCAAAAGCCTGCTTGCTGTAATGGGTTTAAAAAGAGGAAACAGGGCAGCAGCAACTAAGGGGCTGTGGGACTTGATGATGCAAGTTATGGCCACCAGGGATGAAGAAAACGAACATGAAGATGCACAAAAGATTAGTCACAAACACAGGGATTCGGAGTGATTCTTACAAAGGCTGTGACAATTGGAAGCACATTTCACATCATGCTTTGTTTTCTCACTCAACTTTCTTCCTTCATTAAGCAAATCAACAAGCCCTATTGTGCATTAATCATTGGCCGTCACTTGCAGGTCTTCTGGAGGAATGCTCCTAAACACGTTTAAGCTCACGCAGATATTACGGTGGGTGCAAAAAATGCTGCATTTTATGCTAATTGGAATCTACTCCTAGAAAGGTTGAAAGGTCACATTTGCATAATATGCAAACTACACACACTACAGTTGACCCAGGACTTAACAAAAGGAGCAATTTGCCACTAAGCCAGACATCGTGTAAGCAGGTAGCTTCCAGAAATATGTTCTGGGGGCAGTTTAATGTCAAAACTGGCGATTGGGCTTTACGCTGTCATTCTGTCGGATTAAAAAGAAAATTATACATTTTGAAAGCAAAACAAAATGCTTTCCCACTCCCAAATAGAATCAATTTTTACCTCAAAAACACTTCTAAGGCTGTAAGTGAGGAGAGACAGGCAGCAGTTCAAGCCAAGAAACCAATTTCTCTACCTGTGGCCTCGTAACCTGGGTGACAAAAATACTGGAGAAATCCCAGTTGCAAGATTTAGATTATAAATTAGTCCCGTGCTTAAGGCGCTTGTCTAGAACAAAAGCGAGTTGTAAGTGTTGAGCGACATTCAGCAATTTAAAGTGATTGCTGACCGACTTCAAATATATTAATACAAATGCCAGAATTCTGGTCATGGAGCATTTCACCACTGCTTGCTGCTGTGCATCAGCTGTTCTCGACATCTAGGAAGTGAACACTGACCAGAAATTGAACTCAGCTGATTAGCTTTGGGAAAAAGAACATCAGCGTAAAACTTCACTCGCTTTCCCCTCCCTCTCACACATGCTGCCTTAACTGCTGACAATTTCCACTATTTGCCATTCTCCACCAGTCCCGTGGTTGGCCATTAGGACAAGAAATTCCAAAGCAAGAGTGCATTATTACGATCTTCCGTGAAGCAGAAATGGTTAATCCAGCACAACCCAATGCACCCATTCCACCAATTCAAAAAAAGTCTTCTTTTTGATCTCCTGTTAGAGTTTGTGGCCAGGGCTTAATCGAAATCCCACGTGCAGCTCTCCTCCTTTTCCTCCAGAAATGGGAGTGAGATTTAATGTTCTCCTGGATCTCCCTATTACTAGGCAGCAACACTTGAGGGCTTCCAGGGTATTGCTGTTCCCACTGAAACCAAACAACGTAAAAGGTGCAGTGACTTTATTGTAGTAAAGTCCCTAGTTGCGTCTCAAAAGGATTATAGATGAAAAAGACACCAAGCTATATTAAGGGTATCTGACCAAAACCTTAGAGTTTGGTTTTAAGGTGCCTAGTCAAAAAGAGGGTGTCAGAGACATTCAGGAAGGAAGTTTCAGAGCTTAGGGCCTTCACAACAGAAGGCACAGTTGCCAATGGCCACTAAATGCCTGTTTTTCCAAGTTCTCTATCTCTAGCAGGAAGCAGGCCAGCTCGAGTGAATGATCAGCAGGTTATTATGTGCAACAGCTGAAGTTGCTCCTGTGGACTGGAATGAAATTGCATCAGGAAAAGAAAGGCAGAGCAAGACAACAGGATAGGTTTGAACAGGGTTGTGAATAAGGAGTATCCTTTATTCTTATAGAAATTCATATCTCCAGAGCCTGTGGCACTGTGCATTAGCTCGAGACACACAATTGGTTTTCACCATTGCTCAAGATAAAACCTAATATGCATAGCTTTATAAACAAAAGGAGAGACAGAGGCGTAGTGTTACTATCATTGAACTATAATCCAGAAACCCATGCTAACGTTCTGGAGAAGAATTCTGAGGAAGGATGACACTAGACCCAAACCATTAAGTCTGCTTTCTCTCCACAGATGCTGCCAGACCTGCAGAGTTTTTACACAAACTTTTGCTTTTGTTTCTGACTTCCAACATCCGCAGTTCTTCATTTTTTTTTGTTGAATGTTCTAGAGACATTGGTTAAAATCCCACAATGCAGACGGTGAAATGTGATTTCAATAAAAACATGAAATAAAAGAATTAGCCTAATTGTGATCATGTAAAAAAAATAGTTGATTGTTATACAAGCTCATCTGGTATACTAACGTCCTTTAGGGAAAGGAATCTGCCATCCTTAACTGGTCTGACCAGATCCATTGTAAAATTGACTCTTAAATGCCCTCTGGGCAGTCATGGATGGGCAATAAATGCTGGCTGAGCTAGCAATGCCCAATGTCCCATGAACAAATTTGTTAGTAGATGAGGTCACCTTACTGACTGATCTTGACAGTTTGAGTGAGCAGGCAACGGGATGAAAAACATTGCATAAGTGCCCAACAAACGAGAGACTGGAAGGATGCCACTACGCTGCATTTCAATGGTCCTTGATCTCAGAGTTAGTAGAAATAACAGGTGTCTTAATTTACCTTTTTTGTCTTAAGGAATCTAATGCAAACATTCTGGGGTGGAGAAATTAAATAATATTTCTGTCAAAAACAATTGATGAATGTTAGCGACTCAAAATTACTTAGTATAATGAGCAACAGCAGACGTAAATGCCAAGTTTTAGCACCTCTATCCCACACGACACAACCAGTGATGCAGCACTACACTTGTGGGATGCTGTGAACAATGGCCAATCACTCTAATTAACAGCGCTGGTGATGCAGGTAGGCCACAGCGATAGTGCACCCAAAAATGAGAAGCACAAACTAAACAATGGGCAAAACACAGTCAGCTCATTGCCCTACAGTAGAGTCGTAAAACAAAACCCACAAGAAAATAGACATTGCCTTTTAAGCAACACATGCGGGTAAATGGACCATCACACTTTCAAGTTTGGAGAAGTAATGAACTCCCTATTCCAAGAACAGGGTTAAGTAGGAACAGATGCTCTGACCTGCTGAGTACTTCCAGCATCTCTGGTTGTTATTTCAGACTTGCAGTGTTTTGCTTTTATCTCTGGCTTACAAATTAAAATCAGCATCCAAAGACTGCTTCAATGGGAGAGATAAGCAGCAATTCAAGTTCTTAGTTGGAAGACAGCAAGTCAGTGTCACTGTAGAGAGTGGGGGAGCAGTTGTTTTATCAAGGCCGAGATGGACAGATTTTAATTAGTACAGGAATCAAGGGTTCTCGGGAAAAGGGAGGAAGAGTGGAATTGGGAATTATCAGAGCATATTCAATGGGTTGAATGGCCCACCTCTGTTTCTACGTTTTGTATTTAGGAATTCTGGTATGGCAGCTAACTCTAAGCATTTACACTGTAGACTGAAAGTTCCACAAACATGCAGCCTGAAATTGGTTACAAATGGCAAGTTTAAAAGTAGGATATCACACAGGTTAATAGAGCTGTGATAATCATATGAGTACAGGAGTTTAAGGGCTAAGTCACCAGAGCAGCCACACTCTATGTTACTGAGG